AACTTTGGGGTGGCGCTCATAGAAGCTCAGAAGGCGGAAAGTGGTGCACCAATTCACAGCTCTACAGTATTCGTATGGATACAGACAACTTGCTTCAGTTCCCAAGGCTTTGGAACAAAGTAGGCAATAGCATGGATGAAAAAGCAACATATCGCAAGCACGACTATCGAAAAGACACCAACATCAAAGCTTGCCGACAACGGACTGCCATACAGATACACAACACAGCATACGCGGTTTAGCCCGTGTTTTCGTACCGCATCCAGTGCGAGGTCTCCGTCCCGAGTGACTCGGAGTCACGAAACCTGCATCCGGCCGCTCGGAGATAGCTACTTACAGAACTCTGACTGCAGCAAGGACATGCAGCCTGGGTATCAAAGGCTTGATGTCTGACGCGCTGACAGTCGCAGTGGGGTTGCCCGGGCGCATCGGTCGTTGCATTCGCTCAAGCAGCGGCTGCAAGTTGACAATAACGCGGGGAGTGAGTCTGAGAGACTGTACCTAGTCTGTGGCAGCTGGACAGACTACAGAGTACGGAGCACGAATATAACAGTACGGATATAGCCTGATAGGCAGACATCTGCTCACTCCTCATGTCTGCCCCGTGCTTGGAATGCTGCGCGAGGTCAGGTGCGCAGCTCCAGCAAGCGGCCGAAGTGAATCCGCCCGCGCTGGTGATCCCTCGTGGGCTGAGAGCCGAAAGTTGGAACGTCGCAACAGATCTCAACCATCTGTCCCTAGACGGAGAGCCTCCGCCTCGTCCTCGCACGCATCGAGTAGCGGGCGAACGTCGTGACGCGACAATGATAGGACCAGAATTCCCCTCGAACGGATTATTTGAGTGGTTGGAAACACATGATTTCTGCAGCTGCTTAATGGTCAGCTGTCTCTCTTGCACCATTCGAGTGGGCGAGAAAGCGTCACGCCTCTTCCAGGGTACACAGACATTGAGCCAGTCTGAGGGCAAAAGACCAGGGCTGAGGGACACACCGCACGCTGCCTACGCTAATCTGCCACTCCCGTCGCCCGGCATTTACTATTAACGTCTATCAATGCTCGATCTGGCGTGACAGGCTGACAACATCTCGGACGAGGGCCACCCTCAGTCTGGGAACGCCGAGCCTCCTTGATGTTACAGCTATCTAGACCAACGTTCTGGAGGCACATCTCCTTGCACTCCATGTGTTGCTTCATCCTCACCCCATGCTGATCCATCTGGAGCAGTCACGAACTGATACAGGAATCAGAGGCGCTTCGGACCCCTTTTCACGAAGCCGTGCGGTCACTGCGGTCTAGACTCTAACTGGAACCGAGCTTTGACATGGCTCACTTCTCAATGCTCACCCATCACGCTGGCGGTTATGCGACCCAGGTATCCGTACGTCCGTACTTTCGTACAGATACATACTACCTAACTTCTCCTAGTCGCCTTGCCAGCTTCAGTCGTATGTTTACGTTGGGTTCAGTTCTGGCTTTCTGCCTGAAGCGCCCAATTAGGCCATCGCCCAGCAGCAACACGATCCGCCAACCGAGTTGTTCCCATTGATCCGGCAGAAGAGACATGCGCCCCCATAGCTGAAGCTGGGGGTGGTCAACATCTCACGTTCGTGACCGAAGGACAGAAACGTGTATCCGTACTCTGGGAGAGGGCGGGCAGCATATCCTTTCCGCACGTTCTCGGACAAAAGTCGAGAAAACAGCGTTTGTCAATCAGTTTGGGAGAGAATCCGTGTCTTGCTTCCAAAGCGCAGGAGCACAGGACACAGACGTTCTCGCACGGAGGACGTCTGATGTCTACTGAATTCTATCTTGTTACGTCTATTGCGCAATCCCGTCCCAGGGCGCTCCCGCACGTCGTGCGATCGACATATGGCCCATCTTATTTTGTCACCAGGCTACAGTCTCCTTCGGCCTTCGCAGGCTCTGAATGACATGAATAGTACGTACGGATATTGGAACTCATGATTACTCTCAAATTTTCGCCAGACGCGGCTCAAAATCAGTAGCACCGTTACACAGTCAACACCTACGCGCCCGTACTATTTGTTCCATTTCCCGATTCTGCAATCAGCTACCCCTCCACCCCGGTCCCAAGAAGGGATCTCCCGCAGCTCTCTCGCGACGAATGAGGACCGTTTTCTCGACTTCTGCTTTCCTATTCGGCGCATCTCAAACCACTCTATCCTCAAAAGCTAGCACCACGCCACGACCCCCCCCCCCCCCCCCCCCCCCCCCCCCCCCCCCCCCCCCCCCCCCCGCCAGAATGGGGGCCCTCTTTCTTCCTCCTCTCTCCCCTCCGGCCGCAACCCCCCCCCCCCTCCCCCAAAACCACCCCCCCCCCCCCCCCCCCCCCCCCCCCCCCCCCCCCCCTTTCTTACAGTTTACTCGTCCACTGCGCTAACGAACCGGCTGTAGTGGATGGATGTCTCTTGTTCCTGGCGCTTGAACTGTCAATGACGCGGGGCGTCCCCAAGTAAGACTGGCGCGATCATCAACTGGCTGGTGAACGAGTGCGTCGACGCGTCGAATTTCAAGGTGTTCATGAAACCTGTAGTCACGATTTTCTTTGGTCATTTCGCGGCTCGGTGCACGTGAGGGTTGACGCTGCCGTTCGTCTTTACCGGATGCGCCGGCGAAGCTTGCTTTCGTGGATGGTTTACGAATGTCTGCGGCGCTTGCGAGGGACCATTCTGCCCCCGGTGAAAGGCTGCCAGACGATATCACGGGATACCACGGTGGCTGGCTATATCTTGTTCCAAGCCTCCGGGTGCCTTGGTCTCGGTCCATTGCTCCGTTATCCACCTTGAACGCCTACTACTGTGATGGTGACAGGTTTCGGATCGCAGATGGACATTGAGACGTTTAGTTGGACGAAGTCGACTAAGCTCTTAGGGATTGCCGCCGTCTCGTGATCGTAAAGTCGTACTCTTTCATCATACAAGCTTTTGTTTGCCAGGTTTTCTCTACGAATCAAGGACCGGCGACCGGGCTGCCGCTGCCAAGTTCTGATTTTCTACAGCGGGCCCGGGCTTCACGCCTATAGGCGACTGGGTTTCCCGGTACCCGGCCTGTTCCAATGACTTTACAAGCACCGTCGATCGGTCACTTGGCTTGCTTTTCTATTCAAGTTCCCGGCGATCTGCAAAATTAACAATCTAATCTTACCGCTTTGGCGTCGATTCCAAGCCAAGATTATCAGTCAGTAAATGAGGTAGTTGTAGGGGCAAAAAGGGAGCCGACCGCAAAAGATTTCCAAAACCGAGAATCGAACTCGGGGCTATGCCTAACCTCTCGCAGGAATGAGAGGGCATCATGTTGGCCACTACACCATATCGGATGTTGATGAAACTTTGAACGAATAGAATAATAAGTATGGTGAGTGGAATGACTGGAGAAGGCCCCGTTGGATGTGGAGATGTATGCGTGGATTCGGAGTGGTTGTATGGCTCCTCTTTGTGCCATCCGACTAGCTAGATGCCTGCGGGTTTCCGGTCAAAAGCGGGCGACTGCCCCGTTTGCGGGTTGGTTGAGCCTTTGACCTCTTTTTCGTAATGGACTTGGTTAATTTATCCTAGACCAAAGTACCTGGAGAGAACAGGTTACGCATTCGTGAAGTAGTTGAAAAGTTTGAATGTGAAAATACAGCCACTGTATAGACTATCGACTCGATCAGTTATGTGAAGACTGTGCTTCTTACTCACATTATACTCAATATTTGCGACTAGATCTTCGGGGTTATGATGCACATGTTCAACTTTTAGACATGACCTATGATGTGTTCCTCCACAGACCGATAGTGGGCTATCAATAAAATCTTCATACAAATCACCTGTAACTTTGAAAGTACCAGAGACAACTACTCACGCGTGTGCCAACTGAGGATGGAAGCAAAAACCATTGTCGAAATAGACTTCGCTGTCGAGAATTTAGAAAACACTCTAAGTTGCTGCAAAACTCTCGAACTCTCCGTCTCAGCTGTGTCATGTCCTATGCACGTTCTAAACGAGATGAAAAATTGTTGACAGAAGATATAGACGAGGTTAATCCAATGATAGCACTCACTCAATGCAACAGAATCATCTTTCAAACATGCGTCGGTCTGGTCGACTGGCGAAATCGTGGAAGTCGATTAACTCTGTTGATTGATCAGTTGCTTGATTTGTTTTGAGTGAAGTATTGAGTTTCAGTTGAATTGGAAGACAGACAAGACTCAAGATGGTTCACATCATGTCTTTACACCCAAAATATTAGATATTGAAAACACCGGGTGTTGCGATGACAAACTTGGTAAACCATCTATGGCAACAATGAACCAACGACACGAGAAGGGCGTTAAACCTCGCGATACTTTATATTCGATACCCGAACAGAACAGCCAGTACTCGGGTACGCGCGCGGCGAGCACACGCCAAGTCAACATGACAGCTCGGACTCCGTTTACGAAAATTGTAGCATGCCATTGAGGCTATATTGACAACCTTGCGTCAACACCGCTAGTCAAAGCTTAAACGGACTTGGTGGAGCCCGGGCAAGCCATTTGCACCGTTAACTGTCAAGGTCAAAGTTTCCTTCTAGATTAATAATAATCTCGTTCACTCTGCAGTCCGGCATTCTGCTCTCAACCCTTGAAAGCTAGTGCGCCCGTGGCTACCATCAGTGGTCACTTCGGGTGTCATGACACTTACACGGCAACCGGGGGCTGTGAAGGATGCGGAACTTTGCCTGGTTCGGCACTCGTAGACGCCCGCCATTTCGACGTCCGGGTCGTCCGGCCGTACCGGCAAAGGTTCTCTGGGAAGGTTCATGGCCCTGGACAATGTTCTGGTAGGAGTAAATTGATAAATACAACAGTTTGTCCCGAGGAATACGCTAAGATCCTGTTCTTCTTGACTTCCTTCCTCTACATGCCGCATAGCCAGCTAATCTCTAATACGGCGTGCGCTTGCTAATACCACTTAGTTCAACTACAGTCACTCCTTGTCCTAGTTCCCTTTCACATCATGAAGTTCAACCAGCTCGCCTCGCCCGCCTGGGCTCTCCTGCTGTCCCAAGCTGCAGCGAAGCCCTGCGCCGAGGCAAAGATCGACGTCGACGTTGCCATCATCGGCGGCGGCAGCGCCGGCATCCACGCCGCGATCCAGCTCAAGGACGCCGGCGCCAAGATCGCCGTCATCGAGAAGAAGTCGCAGATTGGCGGCCACGCCGAGACCTATATCAACCCGCAGACCAAGATTCCGGCCAACGTCGGCGTTGTCCTCCTCGAGAACAGGGAGATTGTCAGCAACTACTTCTCCCGCCTCAACGTCTCAACCATCAAGGCCAACCCTCTCACCAGCGCCACCGCCGGCGCCTCGAAAAGCTACGACTTCTCGCTCGGGTTTCCTATCCCTGCGCAAAACGCCTCGGCCTCGGCCGCGCAGCAGCAGGCACTCCAGGCCGCCGCGCAGGCCTACTCGACCAACGTGTTGGCCAAGTACCCCTGGATCGACCAGGGCTTCCTCGTTCCCGACCCTGTGCCGGAGGAACTTACGCTCCCCTTTGCGGAGCTCGCTCAAAAATACAACTTCACGGCGCTCCTGACCGTCATCGCCCAATTCAACTGGTGGACCGGAGACATCTCCACGATCCCGGCGCTGTACGGCATCAAGGGCCTCGGACCCGGTCTGCTCCAGAGTCTCTTTGGCGAGTTCATCCTCTCCGGCAACGGCGACACCAGGGCCCTGTACGACGCCGCCGCCGCGGAGCTCGGCGACAGCGTCCTTCTCAACTCCGACGTCCTTAAAGTGAAGCGCGACGTCAAGATCGACAAGGCCACCACCTCGGGCGTCACCGTCCTCGTACAGCAGCCAGGCCAACCCAAAAAGCTCATCCGCGCCCGCAAGCTTCTCATCGCCATCCCCCCTATCCTGGAGAACGTGGCAAAGTACGACCTCAGCTCGGACGAGCACGCCCTCTTCTCCAAGTTCTCCGCCCTCGGCTACTGGGCCGGCGTCGCCACGATCCCGGGCCTCAACACCAGCCTCACCAACGTCGGCGTCCAGACCCCCTTCAACCAGCCCGTCATCCCCGGCACGAACGGCTTCAACACGGCCGGGTCTCCCAATGACTTTCTCGTTGCCGTCGGCTTCCAGGATACGAACTACTCCGAGGCGGATGCCAAGGCCGTCCTCGTCAAGAACCTGGCTACGCTGGCTGCTGTCGGCGCCGTGCCCAAGGACGCGGCCCAGACGGTCACGTTCCCCTATGTTTCGGACCACAAGCCCTACAACGTCCGCGTCTCGACTGAGGAGATCAAGGGAGGGTTCTATGGCAAGTTGCTTGCTCTGGAGGGCGCGCGTAACACGTACTGGGCTGGCGCGACTTTCTCTGGTCATAACAGCGCGCTGGTTTGGTCATTCAACGAGGGGACGGTTCTGCCAGGCCTGAAGAAGGATCTTGGTCTGTGATGGAAATACGTCATTAATAACATGGCGAAGGAGACTGGAAGCTTGAAATGTGCATATTAGAGCCACGGCTGAAGGGCATCGGCCCCTAGCCTATATAGAATAATTATCTCAGGATCAGTTTCTGCGCCACTTTCAGTCTCTGATACTCCTTGCTGAAACCAGTGAGACGACAAGGGCGTTTGTAAATCCATCACCCCAGCTATGATGCAGGAGTCAATTGTGAACCTCCATAGGCTCTGGTCGACAGGGCGATCTAGAATTCGGAGCAAAGATCATGCTTTTGACCCGGAGTTGATTTGTATCTGCTCCGCGTCAGATTGCTCGGCTACGTTCACGTCCGAAATATCTGCGTCGCTGTCCCGGCCAGATACTTCACCTGGGAGTCGGTCCCTGACAAGGAGGGCAGCCCATGTAGTCGCTGGTGCTCCCACGTAGAATACGACTACAGATATGACCAAGTTCGTCATCAAAGAGGCGCTGCGAACAGAGCCGACGGCATACGCCAAAGCCGAACCCAATGATTCCCCAGAACGAAGGACACCCATCGACAGAGCAATGGTGTCCGCTTCAACGTCAAAGGTCCCGAGAGTCCAGTAGAGCCATACGCCGACAGTCTCATAGGCAATGCTAAGACCGCTTTATTAGTATTCGCCGTCATGGTTGCTTTGGAGGTCGCCGAGGAGAACTTCTTACCGGTAAAGGATGAAAATCGTTACTCCCTCGCCGAAGCTCTCACTGACCCAGTCGATTTCGCCAGGACTCTTTCTTGCCCATCTCTCCTGGACGACCAGATTCCAGATCCAAACCAGTGTGAAGAGAGCCAACAAGAAATACCAACTCCAACGTGCTTGGGTAGTTCTCTTCAAGTGCTTTGAATCAAGCCACCACCCTGCAAGAACGTTTGATATCGCACCGACAACAGCAATGATAAAACCCGCAAGAGTACGAGCGCGAACGGTGAAGTATGCAGCCATGTAGTTGCCTTGGTACGTGACGCCCCACTGCGCGGTGATGAAGGCCGGGATGAGAAGCAAGACCTCCCTCCGTTTGAACTGCGCGAGGAAGCCCCTGAATTGTGTCTTGAATGTGCGCTGAGAGCTGGCAAAGATGGGCTTCTTCCCGTCTTTGCGGATCAGCTTTTTGGGCGGTGCCAACAATAGTGAAAGTGGTAAACCTAAGCATTGAATTGCAACGAGAACCAGGTAAGTCGAAGGTGAGATGGCACCGGTTGTGTCGCTGTCTTTGTTGATGGCAAGTTGAATCGCGGTGGCGATGATGGAACCGAGCTTCCCAAGAGCCATCCAAATGCTGACTGTGCGAGAGATTAGCAATGATGGTACTCCTTTGAGGTCTGCGAATGTCCGGAGATGGGGTTACGTGGCTCTGGAAATACGTACTACAGACACCACGACGAGCAACTTCGGGATAGCCCACAGCTATTGCGGCTTCACCAGGCCAAAGTGCCGATGCCTACTTCAAGTCAGAGACCTATGACTGCCGCTGTGATGAGAGAGAACCTACTGAAATTCCACACGTAACAGCACCAAAGATCAGAAACCACTGCGTCCCCCAAATCGAGTTACAATAGAGCGCAGCGGAGTACGGGACATAGCCCAGAGTTCCGATGACGACAATCCACTTCATGCCAACCAAGTTCCCGACCATGCTCGCCAGCGGTGACAGCACAATCATGATACTAAGTCATTAGCAACACAGACACGATATCTATGGATCTCTGGAAAGACTGAGACTAAGTGAGAGTAACTTACACGAATGTGATGACGTTCACAGCATTGATGACGTATGGCTCAGCTTGACCACCAGCGCCCAAATCTTAAGAGATTGATCAGCAGTCACATACCGCAGTAAGAGTAACGCATTTGGCCAGCTTACTGTTCATTGCCGTCCATATTCCGGGTTGAGTGAAGCTGATGAGACCCAGCAAGACAGCTTGGAATATCGTTCCGCGAAAAACATCGTGAACCCTGCTTTTGGGCTTCAGCGCCCGAGGGCTGACTTCAGACATGTTAAGAGATCAGAGGAAAATGATACGTTTTGAGCTGATAACTCAGGAAGACATCTTCAAGGCTTGTTCTTTCTGTTTTTAAAAGCCTCTCAACCCCTACCCAGGCCAAATTCTCTGCGCGATAACGGCATTGCGCTATGGCAGGTCTTGATGGTACAACGCGCCAAGTGGATGCGATTCCGCGAAAAAGTAGCCTCAAGGCCCTCGAGAGCCGCATAGAAGTCTTCCATTCACTTTCCAATGCTACACAGTTCAGGCAAGAAAGTGGAAACTCGAAGATGATAATGCTGACCACATTGCTGCTAGGCAAGGGTGATTTTCCGAAATCTTTCCGATAGCTCGTCACGCCATAGCCCTAGTCAGATTGGGTCTCCTTTGGCTCCATTAGCGGACAAGAGAGTCATAGGTTGGCAGATGGTCAATTGAAAAGTGAGAGATTCTTCAGAATTTGGATCAAGTTGCGTCTAATGTTTCCCAAGTAAACTACCAGGATACTTCAACACGGCTTCACGAGCAACAGTACAGGCAACCTTAGCATGCTTATACGCAAGCGCAAATTCTGGCTCAGTCACACGAATTGAGATCTGCAATGAAAGAACTTTTTACATCAAAACCCTCATCACTCTGAACCACATGCCCGCTAGATGCACGTGTACTCCTCAAAAGTTTGAATGGTTATTCCTTATGCTTTCATAGATAGATGTAGCAGAACGGAGTGTCGTCAACAGTGTTCAGCAGCTCTTTGATAGGGCGATCTTGCGCCAAAACGCCCATCTCAACTATGTCCTCCTTCGTGGCGTCACGGCTCGGTGGCAGGTTGAGAATTGTGATAGTCCCAGCAATTTCAAAAGCCTCCCAGAGATGGAGGGCTTGCCAAATCCAGTAAACGCGGTCGACCATGGCATGATGGAGGAAGAAGGTCGGATCGGTCGGGGAGGAGTAGAGATCACTAGCATCTCCATTTGCGACGAAATGGCCTGAAGCGTGCATGCCTGCATTCGAAATGTTAGTCTCAACTATGGCTATCTCAGGAATTCGTTAAACATACCCAAGAAGCCATCCCAGAAGCGACCCTGGAGCTCATTCTGGAATGTTGAGATATTCTTAGAAGCTTGGCCAACGGTGACGTTAAGTAGGTTAGGGGTCGTCAACCAAGTAGACGCTGCGTATGAGCTCAAATCGCGGCGCAGGCAACGTGGGTTGTACTCCATGGGGCCATTGGGATTGGGGTCCAAGCCATCCATGCCGGGAGATACTGGACCAAGGTTGACAGTCATGCTATATCCTATTAGATGATGGCTTTCATGGAGTTAAGGATGCCGCTTACTTCACGAGAGGACCGCTAGTTACACAACCGCCGCCATTGCCAGACGGTATTGCAATCTCGCCATATGGCGAAGCACTGACGCTGCCATTGTGAGCAACGTAGGCGCCATCACCACTTAGACTGGTATCACTCCCATCGTAGACTGGTGACTTGCGCGGATCATCGATGTGAGCGAACCAATTCCAGTAGGGCTGAGCCCCCTTATAACCACACTCGGTCTTTAGAGCATTCTCATACGCCCAGGTAAAGTACCTATGCCATGTCAAGAAATTGCCTGTACCATGAATGGTCCGAGTCTGGTTGATATGGACGGCAACGAAGTCGTCATATCGGTTGCGGGCTCCTGGTGCGAAGGATGGGTCGGACTTGGAAGGAGACGCCAACATGCACTGGATGGCACTGATGTACTCCTTGCGCTCCGTGGTAGAGAAAGCAGCCCTGAGCCAAGATGTTAGATGTTTGTGCTAGGGCTAGCCACTCCGTCTCATAAAAGGACCTCGAAAGAATTATGAGGCAAGACACGACCTACCAATCCCTGCGAACGCTGGCGTTGAAGAGGTTGCACCCACGCTTGGAAATGGTCCCATTGGCTTCAGCCGCCTTCAAACTCTCCATGGCTTGAGCTTGCAGGTCTGCGAGCACATCTCCGGCGTCACGAGCCTCGAGAGGGGTGTCGAGGGGGGCGCCACAAGCGACGACCGCCAAGCTCAGGACGGCTGTGATCTTGACGGGAAGCATCGTAATCGGCTAAAGTCTGCTTTTGATGAAAGGGGGTTCCAGACGCAAGCTTCCGCTTTAGGGGGGGGGGGGGGATCTGCAAGGGCAGCGGAGCGAGGTAGGTGAGCAAAAGGAACAGAGAAACGTGGCATTCGAGAATGTGGGCGCTTCTATATACACCGAGACATGCTCCCACCGGTGAAGCATTCCCATCACTGCCGAATGTAATTTCAACATATTGATACCAGTCGACTTGGCGAGCGTGTTCATCGCCACCATTGACCAGATTCGTAGAGTTACTCATGTGTTGGTCAACAACTTGCATGTGGATGTTGGAAGGCCTACGGAAAGGCTCGTTTTCTCGGCACTTCGGTGTTGATATCTGAACTAGGCAAGTCGTCCTCGTTACTGACCCCTGCCATTTGGGTTTGAGCCCGCTTCTTGACATGGTGGGGTCTGAGGTCGACACTCGATCAACGAGCCGCCTGAAGGATGGAACTTGGAATTGCAGAAGAGAATAAAGGGCAACATTCCGAGGTGACTTTACTTCCTTGGAGCTCTTTAGCCGGAAAAGCTGCACGTAAATATAGCTGGTCTCTACGCTTAAATCTATAGAGATTCTCACCTTGTGTAGGCCTTTCCGTCAACCTCTCTCGCCTCCAATAAGTGTTCCTAACTCCGGAATACCAATCTCACCTCATGCAATAAGTCGGGCACGCCATTACTTTTACTCTCCCCACGGCCCACATGCACTTGACTCAGTTCGAGTGTAAGAAGAAGGCGTTGGAGGCGGAAGCATAGGCTCTCAAAGTTTCGAATATGCAACCAGTCCATAGCAGGGGCCGCTGAACTAAGGAAGCTTCGAAGATGTATTGCAACTTGTAAGTCTGCAATTTGCAACCAAGGCCCCGCCCCCGCTCGTCAGAATGTCACATCATATTAGCTCCAGCGTTCCAACCCATGCAGGGGCTCCACAGACTGTCAACATTAGATGTTAGTTCCAACGGACACACTAGGGGAGTTCGGGGAACATGCCCTACAACGGCCCGTATCACACCACTAAGCATGGATATAGTGCGCCAGGATCGGATATGCCTGCGGTTGCGGCTGCGGTTGAAGGCTGTCGACGAATGATTAGGCTCCTTTCATTCGTTAACCCTTGGCCCCCAAGCCTCCAATGCCCTGGCTCGACTAACATCCCGCTTTTGCTGAGAATCACTCACATAAAGGCCTTTACCCGCGATCACTGGGGAAAAGATCATCTAACGCGGTTCGTTTACCTCAAAGAGACTTTTAACAGTGGAGAAATTGCGTCTCTCGCCTTGAATCATGTTTATGCCAAGTTGAGCTCCCCTGATCTTTCGGACAATCGTACATCGCATAGGGAAATGGTATCGTACTTCTTGTTGACCGGGAGGCCGACGACTGACATGGGCCGGCCTGGATGGATTTTCAAAAGACCTGGCGACATATGGTGTAGGCAGATATACATGCAGCCAAGGCTGTAATACTTGGTGAAGGAAATGAACCTCACAGCCCAGCCTGAACGATTAGTTTTTGGACACAACCTCGCCACCGTCTCGCAGCCAAGGCTCCACTGATCCCAGCAAGTTGACGAAGAACACATCGGTAACGAGCACCACTTTGAATGTATCTTCCAAGTTAGATCGGACTTCTTCGATGATATGTTGCCCGGAGATAAATTCACCAAAGTGCGCTGTCAGCGAACTTGAAGAAAACGCCGTGAGAAAAATAAGTGAATTACTTTAAGAGTTTCTAACCTCACTCACCATTTCTATCTCAATTTGACTCAATCCACCAGAATCTTATACGCCTTACTCATTCAAGGGAAACGAAATATCCGGAGAACTTGGATGGCTGGGGGGCGGCACACCTTTCTGTGCCGCAGCTAAGCAGTTGACTGAAAACAGTGCAGGTTCCATCCCACCGGATGCCTGATTCTCGATGAAGACAGCTGCAGGAGTGAGCTCGCCACACCAGAGCCATGCTTACGAAAATTCCACACTCTGAAGAGGCAGGTGGACTTCAAACCCACTTGACACCTAAAGCGAATGGAACGTGACTGAACGAGCAACTCGCGTCCATTCACTTCCAACTTCGCGCACCAATCCTTGGTGTGAGACGGCCGTGCCACGCTTTTGGATCCTGCTTTGCTTCCTGCGTTCACAGATGGCAGACTTTTTGTAACATGCTGCATGTAAATATTCAGAATATGAACCCATGACTCGCTCTTCCATGCGGGCACAATATCTCTATCATCTATGTATTCGTTTCTCATCTGCCTGGTCTCAATGTACGTCTTGTTCAGCTATAACCGGCTATAATGTCTTCAGCTCCTCTACCTACCACGTCCTTTGACCCGGATTGGGCCAAGGAGAGCAATACCGCCATGATTGTCGGTGTAACTGGCGGCTTCCACGCCCTTGCTCTGCTTTTCGTTGGCCTCCGCATGTACACCCGTGCCGCCATCGTCAAGCTTATGGGGAGAGACGACTACGTCGCCATTGCATCCGTGGTACGTCTGCTTATGTTCGATTTTGGGTTCTAAGGGCTGAGAAATTTTGATATTGGAAGTTATGTGCCATGGCAGGCATGACAATCTTTTCAGTGCAATCCTTTTACGGTCTCGGGAAGCACACACTCACCATCCCTGCCGAGAATATGGTCATCATGAGAAAGTCAAGCTTCTTCCAGTCAATCATATCTTCCATCGCTGGTTTGGCATTGCTGAAAGTATCGATTGGCCTTTCTCTCCTCCGGCTTAGTAATAGTATTTAGTACTCGAGATGTCTTTAGGTATTAATCGGTAAGTACCTTACTATCGGATTAGAAGTCTAATTTAACCGCGGCATATAGCTAACTACGCAGGGGCTAATTAGGGGCCCTATTTATAATTATCATAGCTAGCCTAACCTATAATTAGAACCTCTTTTTTATACTTACGTAGAAATTTATATAATTTAATTAATTTTTTTATTAACCTATAGTTTAAATTAGCTATTTTATAATAAAGATATTAATACTAATTAGTAATTAAATTTTATTATTATAGATTAGTAAAATATTTTACTATATAAAAAAAACGACCTTTTAATACTATATAAAATAAGAGATTCGTACTAAGTAATTTTATAAAAATAAATAAAAAAGGAAGTAATTTTTAAATATTATATAAAATTAAGTAATCGTAGCCCTTTATTATTTATAAAAAGTCGACGTTTATTATATTAAACTACGTTAATTAATAGAACTACTTAAGTAACTAGTTTTTTACTATCTCTTTAAATAGCTTTTTTACTAAATAACTTTTCTATAGCTAGCCCATAATTAAAAATTAACTAGCTAAATTAATAAAAAAAAAATACTTACGTAGTAGCTACTTACCTAATTAATTAGTATAATAAACGAGCTCGATAGTATAATATAAAAAAATACTACGTAATTAAAAAAAAAGATTTTTAAATATAAATATTTTTAATAAGTATAATAAAAACTTATATAAGAATTATTAAGCTAAGAGATTTATAATATATAAAAAGGCCTAATATTATAAGGATTTTATAAATACAACTTTAAAGTTTATAATTTAAATAATCTCCTTATAACCCCCTTAATTACCCCCCGAGTATTATTTAGGAATATAATATAAAGGATAGTTTAATAAAAAAAAAAGAGATTTAAAAGTCCTAATAATATCGAATTAAAAATATTATAAATTTTAAAAATTAATTTAAAAAAAAAAGCGGCTATTTTAAAATAATTTTATAACCTTTTATTAAAATTATAATTAGCTTAAAAAAAGGCTAAAAAAATATAGCTTTAAAAAGAAAAAAAAAAAATCTTTTAGAGGGCTACTAAAGAGCTCCTTTTTTATATTAAGTTCTTAACGCGAGATTATTAATTTTAAAAAATTAAATAAATAATAAAAAGGATTATTAATAAGTAATAATTATTTAATAATAATTAAGTTATAAAAAAGATTATTTAAAAAATATAAAATAGGGTACTAAGAAACTATAAAAAAAAAGATTTTTAAAGTAATTAACCCTATTTAATATAAATAACGAAGTAGTAAGTATTTTTAATAAGTTTTTTAAATCCTCGATTTTATAAAAAAAAGAGCTTAACTTTACTAACTATACTTAATAACTTATTTAGTTCTTAATAACTTATCTAGCTCTTTTATGAGCTACTTAGTATCTATTTTTAACTATTTTTTTAAAATATTACTCTAAAAAAGGTAAGTTAAGGAAAAAAGTAATTTAGAAATTATAAAAAGTACGAGGCTTAGGAAGTTAAAAATATAAAAAATAATAAAAATTAGTAATTAATAAAAGATCCTAAGACTAATTATTACGTCTTTTTATAATAATATAAACGTTTATTATTATTATTAAAAAAGGAGCTATTAAAGCTTATTTTTTTATATTAAATAAAAAAGAGGATCTTAGTAAGTATAATAATTAGTAATTTAAAAAAGTAATAGTAATTATTAAAAATAATAAAAACGAGAATAATAGCGAAATAGTAAAAAAAAGCGGGAATTACTTAGACCTTAATAAATTCTTTAAGTAATAAAAATACGGATTTATTATAGCTAGTGCGCGGATTAGATATATTCTTATTAAAATTAAATACGCTAGTAATTATTAATATAGGTATAAATTAAAGTACGACTTTTAGTAAGTTAAGGTAAAGAAAAAAAAAAACCCCCCGATTTTAAATAGAATCCTAATTTTTTATAAATAAATAAATATTAACCTAGATTATTAAGGGATATAAATATATAGGATTGCGAATTAACTTAATAATAAGTAAATTAATACGGTATTAATTTATTTAACTAAGGTTTATAAAAAAAAAGGGCTATAGGGGCAACCCCTATTTTATAAAATTATAAATAACTTTAGTTACTAATTAGATAAATAGTTCGCGAGCGTAAGTTTAGGAATTATAAAAATAATTAATAAATTCTTTTATAAATAAAAAGTATTATTAATATAATTATAATTATAAGAACTATACGAAATCTTAGTAATAACGATTATAAAAAAGGAATTCGTATTATAAAACTAGGTATAGGTTAATAAAGCGTATAATTACTTTAATAAATTTAAAAAAAGGGTAAATAATCTAGATTTCCTTCTTATAATTATTAATAATAATCTATTATTATAAAAGGATATATAGAAATAAAATATAATATTAAACGTACGATAATTAATAATTTTACTTATTTTAATTTATAGCTCGTTGCTATTATTAATACGAAATTTAGTACTAATTAGCTAATAAAAAAAGAAGTAAATAACCTAAAGTTATTAATAATACGTAATAACGTAGGGATTATATAAAAATACTAAAAATATAATAATAAATATAAAATAATTTATAAATTTTAAAAAAATCTTTTTAAAAAAAAATTATATTTTAAGGAGAAGTACGAAGTTTTATAAAAAACCCTAATAATATTTTATAATTATTATAAAAAAGTTAGGATTAGGGAATATTAATATTATTTAGTAATTAATATCGTATTTATAAATAAAGCTTTTAATTATTATTACGAAGCGGTACATAATTTCGATTAGAACGATTTTCTTAGTATTATTAACGTAATCTAAAGCCGCTTCGAGACTTATAATAGGAATTTAAAGCTCCTATCTAAGCTATAAGTAATTTTTTTTATATTTATAACTAGAATAATAAAAAGAAAATTATAAATAAAAATCCTAAAAAAGCTTATTAATTAAATTAATAAACTAGTAAAAACCTAGCTAAATAAGAGGATTAACGAGCGGAAAGTTAGATATTTTTATATTATAATTTAGCATATATTAAAAATAAAAATAACCCTATATTAAGTACTTAAAAACTATAAAACGCTCTATTTAAAGCTAAGATTTAACTTTAATATTAAAATAAAAATACTGCGCTAAACTTATTTTTAAGAGTATAACGGCCCTTATTAATAGTATTAAGTTAACTAGATATATAATAAAAAAAAGAAAAAGACTAGGTATAGTAATTGCTAGTAAAGAGGCTTAGATTTATTAAATAAATAGAAATTTAATTCGCAAATAGTGTAATAAAAAAAATAATACTTTATTTATAAAACAAATAAATATTAATTAAGTAATTACTCCGAAAAATAGCGTACTAAATTATATAAATAATATAAAAAATTGAGGATAATAAATAATAAAACTAGCTCTTATTAGTTTAGTTAATTCCTTATTATATATAAGAATAAATTTAAAAATATAGAACTTAGTAATAGTAACTAAAGTAATAGTTTAAAATATTCGCTCTTCCTAAAAAATTCGGAAAATAAAGAAAATCTCGCCCCCTATATTAACGAATTAGATTATAATAAAATCGATAATATTAATTACTTATTTTTTATACCGTTAGCTTTTAGAGAATATATAAGGCTAAATAAATAAAAAGTAATAAAAACTCTTAATAAGCAAGTTTTTATTTATAAATAATAAGGGAAGGTCCCTTAAATAATAAATATAAAAATAAATAAAAGAACGAATTTAATAATATAAAATTCTATTTTCTTAACGCTTAAAGAAAAAATATTATTTCTATTAATATTAAAAAAAAAAGATAATACTAAGTAATTCTAAGGGTAATTAGAGGGGTCCTTTTTATATTACCTAAATTACTTAAATACTAAGCCTATATAAGCATTTTACATAAATAAAAAGTACGGCTTAAATAATTTTTATAAAATTATCCTAAATACTAAGGTATTATAATAATTAATAAAAAAAAAGGGGTAATTCTAAGTACTATAAAAAATCGTGCTAATAATACTTAATACGTTAATAATAGGTATTATAAGAATTAGCTTTAGCCTAGGTAAAGAAATTATCGCCCTAAGTATAATAAAAATAAAAACGTACTTCGGAACGATAACTTTTTATATTCTACTTATTAATACCCTATTTTTCCTATATTTAAAAAATATAAATTAATTAAGTATTATATTTAATAATACGAAGAATAGAATTTTTAGTAATAAGTATTTTAAAATAATCGAATAATAATAGAAGTACGCGTTTATAAAGCTTATTAATAATACGAAGTTAATTAATTACTTAACAGAAAATAAACTTAAATAACTATATTAAAAATTTAAGTACCTATCGGTTACGAGGCTATATAACTTCTTAAAGTAATTAAATAATAAGGATATTAAAATAGGGGTACTAAAATAATTAATAAAAATATACTATTAATACTAAATAAATACGCAGAGCCTACGTAAATTTAAATTTAAATTATATAATAAGCTTAACTTTAATTAAGAAATCGTTATTAATATTTTCTATTTAAATAGTTAACTAGTCCTATATATAATTAACGAGGTTATATTATTTTAAATAGGGTAATTCCTCTGGGATTTATAAATAAAAATAGTATAAGTAGCCCTATAAAAAAGCTTAATTAATATATACTAAAGACCGCTAAATAGTATTAAAACCGACGCTAAAACGAGTTTTAAATTAATAAAATTTAAAAAAAATATAATAGCTTATAGTATATAACTAAAAGTTGTACCCGTAAAAGCGTATTATAATATTAAAAAAATAAAAAGAGTATATTAATAATTAAAAAGGGCGTTTAGGATTATTAAAAAAAAAATCCCGATTTTATTAATAATAAATACCTCTAGATAGTACTTAAATACTATAATAATACTATAGGACCTAACGGTTTTATACTAATACTATTAGTATTTAGAGCATACTTAAGGATAACTTTAACCTCGCTATTATTATTAAATATAAACTAACGAACCTAAGTAATTAAAAAAATAATACGGGCGCTATATAAAATAAGTATAAAAAAATAAGTTAATAAAGTAATTATTATATATAATAGGCCCAATATAGGGGCTAATTTAAATATACCCCTAAATTCGGATATATAAGTTTAGTATAAAATTACTTAGTAATAAGCTAGGCTATATAAATTAATTTCTATTAATAAGCGTTTTTATATAGTTATAAAAGATTATAACTAACTATTTAAAATATTAATTACTATAATTAAACTATATTATATAGATCCTATTAAAGTAATTTCTAGCTTATAAAAAAAAAAGCTAGGGGAAATTATATAATTAATAATAAAGGTATAAGAAATTATCCTTAATAAAATTATTATAATAATATTAATAAATAACGAAGAAGAGGAAATTACTAAAAGGGTATTAATATTACTAATAAGACGTTATAAAAGACTATAATAGTAAGCCCTAACGTAGTAATTTATTATTAATAATAAGGTAATTAATACTTTTTATTTAATAAAAAAGAAAGCCGATTTCGAGCTAGTAATTAAACTACGTAAAAAAAGCATTATTATAATTATTAAAAAGCCGTATAAAGGATTAGATTTTATTAAAATAAATACTTTATATAATCGAGGGGTCTATTAATTTATTTTTTATAACCCTAAGAAATATAAAAGTCTCTATATATTTAAATTATAAATAGTACGTAAAATTAAGGGAAAAGGAACACTTTAACTATATAAAAAATCTAAGTATATAATTTAAGGGTACGGCGATGTTAAAAAGGCGACGCTACTTATTTAATTATTTATAGTATAGTGCTATAGCTAACGATTAATAATAATATTAATAGTATCGCTACGGAAAAAAGGATACGAAATTTAGAGCTATAATATTACTTAGGCCTATATTTAATTAGTTATAGGGCTTATAAAGAAAATCCTAGCTTACTTATTAAAAGAAATAGTTAGTAAGTACTTAAAAAGTACGATTATTAAAGTATTTAAACTATTATATAGGCTCGTAAAATCGGGTACTTATTAATAAGCTATATACTATGATTTTTATATTAATTAATTATTAATAATTATATTTACGTATAACTCATACTTATTAGTTTTTAAATAAAAAGGTAAATAATTTAGAATTATTAGAATATAGACCGATAATATATTAGGCCTATTTAATATTAACTTTATAAAAAAAAAAAATAAAGAGCTCTAAAAAACGGGCTTTATAATAAAATTAAAAAAGGTCCTTATAATAAATAACTTATTAACGTTTAATAATAAAATTCTTATAATTAAAAGAGAAACCGTCGTTTTTTAATAAAAAGGGTAAAATAAAAAAATTACTTTTGTTAACCTAAATATAATTAATATTAAAAAATAATATAAGGCTAAGCTTATATAAGGGGTATATATTATAAGTATATATTAGCCTAAGGTAATTTTTAACTATACTAAAGTAGTATAAGTTATAGAGCTAAACGAACGAGACGTCGAGGTATTTAATAAGTAGTTTAAATAATAATAAATAAATCTCAATCGAGGCCTTATTTATTACCTAATTAACCTCGTTATTAATAAACTCTATATCTTTATTAATAGGTTATTTATAAATAATAATAACCTTATTTCGTAATTAAAGTATATTATTATCTTAGTTAACGAGAGTATAAGCGAGAGCGAATTTATTATATATAATAATATAGTCTACTATTTATTAACTAAAAATAAGTAAATAATAAGAAGTATTTTAGTATTAAAAGTTTATAATATAATTAACGACGTTAACCTTACTTATATAATTTTAATAATACTAAAGAGGATTATTAATTAACTTAACTTCTTACTAATCTTAATAATTATTTATATTAATTCTTATTTATTATATAAATACCTTATTAAATTAAAAATAATAAAAGAAAAGAGGTTTATAATTAATATTATAGCCCTTAGGTAATTATATAAAAAATATAAGATCCTTAAAATACGTTAAATTAATAAGGACGATAACCTTATTAACGCTTTTATAAAAATAGTACTTAATAAGGGGTTAAAATAATTCGTAAATAATAAAAAAGTTAATATATAAATAAAAAAATAAGTTATATAAAAAAAAAAAAAAAAAAAGAAATAATTTAATAAATAGGCCCGAGGTTAAATTATACTTTTAATTATAATAAAAAAATTAATAAAAAAAAGAAAAAGTTAGTATTAAATTAAAAATCTAATTTAATTATAATATATAGCTAATTATATAAGGGCTAATTAGGGGCCCTATTTATAATTATTATAACTAGCCTAACTTATAGTTAGAACCTCCTTTTTATACTTACGTAGAAATTTATATAGTTTAATTAATCTCTTCGTTAACCTACGGTTCGAACTAGCTACCTTATAATAGGGATACTAACACTTACTAACTACCTTAAGCTATAAATAATCAGACCTTAGAGGTTACGCATGATTCCTTTCTAACTGCGATTAGTATTTGTGTCTGCCTATAGTTTCATGGCCTGGATGACGTTCTTCTTCTATTGCCAACCACTGGAAGGATATTAGGACAAGAGTTTGGAACCCAAATGTTATCCAATCACTCTCTTCATCAAATTTGGCTTGATCAACACTGTCTTCAACATCTTCACCGATGTATGCTTCGCTACGCTTCCTGTAAGCATCATTTGGACGTTGCAGATGAAACTGAGGACACGGATTTATCTTATCATTGTTCTCAGTCTCGGTTACTTGTATGTTGAACCCCGATTGAGGTGTTATTATCTTTACTAAGTGTCCATAGTGCGGTAGCTATGGGTGTCATCAAGTCAGTCTACCAAATAGCGTACGGGAAAGACATGGACAAGACTTTGTAAGTCGTGTACTGCTATCACCTCGCAAGTGTTCCCAACTGACAACTCCGAAGTTACCAAAGTATTCAATTCTGGGAATTGTGAGTTTACTTCTCGAATTATCATCTGCTTTGACTTACACTTGATTGTGACAGCTTACAACTCAACCTCGGAATTATCGCGGCTTGCGCACCATCTTTGAAACCTCTTGTCGGCCATGCCCTCAAGATTTCGTCGAGCGACCGCTATCACGGCGAATTATACGAGAATCGAAGACGGACCGGGACGAATACGTCGAAACGCCGCCAGGGCTACAGAGTTCACGACAGTCAAGTTGAATACGAGATGCATGGTCGTACTTTTGCTGGATCCTCTGAGGTACAGCGCAGTGCTGTAGATAACCTGCATCAAAGCCCATACGGAAAAGACGGCAGCAGGGGGTCTGGAAGCGATGATATGATCCTCCAGGATGATAAAGGACAAGGGATCATGCGGACCACAGAGATATCGATCAAGCGATGAGCTGGAAGCCCCGAGATCCTAGCGTTCAAATACTTTGATACCCACTTAATAATACTGGACTGATCACCACTGGAACTGTTTCCCATTCCTCTGGAGAAACTTGCCAACCTCACCATCTCTCTTCCCCTCAACAATCTCAAGAATGCCCTGCGCGCTGGTTTCCGAACTCTCGGCGCCTCCATCGATCCTGTTCTGCCTGTCGTCTTCACCCGACAGATTGGTGATGACCCAGCCAGGACAGAAGGCCCAAACTGTCGCGCCCCAGCTCTTGTAGGCCCACAACATATGGGCCGTCGCCATATTCAGGGCCGCCTTGGAGATGCGGTAGGCATCGGCGGGAACGTCGTAAAAGGCACCGCCTGGAGTCGTACGCTCGTGAAGAGAACCGAGACCACTCGTTACATTGATGATTCGCGCGTCCTTAGAGTTCTTGAGTAGCGGTATCAGGGCCTCGGTGAGGAGCAATGCGCTAGCTGCGTTGGTGTTGAAGGTGTCAATCAGCTCGGAGCGGCGATCCTTGGGTTGCATGATGACGATGCCGGCGTTGTTAACCAGGACGTCAAGGACGCCAAAGTCGGCGGTCAGCTTTTCAACTCCAGCCTTAATGGAGTCGTCGGAAGTGATGTCGAGCTGCAAGAGGCTCACGGTGCCGGCCGGCTTCCGGGCCTGGAGATCCTCCACAGCCTTGGCGCCCCGCTCCGCGCTCCTGGAGCCGACGACGACGTGGTTATCAGGGGATGCCGAGACCAAGGCCCAGGCGCTGTCGAAGCCAATGCCCTGGTTTGCACCTGAACATCGTTAACTCTCATTCTGATCGGTGGTTGACGCATGTCTTCTCTATTCGATGACCAAAGACTCTTGCCTCTTCGTTAGTGATCCAGGGTGGGAACTTACCAGTGATGAGGATGATCTTCTTGGAAGACATATTGAGATACTATGTTGGTGTGTGGATTACTGCGAGTAAGAACAATGATGTGCGGTGCTTGCCCTCTGTTATGGGTTTCAGTGATGAATACTTTTCAGTCGTACTTATAGACCCATGTCAAACAGAACCGTTGGACCTCTCCCGAATGCATTTCTCGGGATCGGCGAGGTATCGTTGTTCCTCCGTCCCGCGCGCGTTAAAGCCATAAAGTCCGGAATTAGAAATCTAAAGACAGGCGCACAGGCTGATTCGACTCCGAAGTATCAACGTTATGCACCAATCGTAAGTTGGTGGCGCTTATGTTTTGGGGGATGGTGATTCAGCATGCTCCTAGTGCGGCACATAGAGATATGCAGCTTATGCCAAGGAAGCGGATACTTTTCAGGCTCGGATATGTTTCTAAGCAGGGCAGGTTTCTATAGCATTCTCCGAATGGGATCTCTCTATGGCTTACGAAGATGGATCTTGATGTAATTCTGTAATTACATTGAGACAAAAAAATCTTGTGAAGACGGCCAATTTTTGGTGAGCGTGCGATGCCTCTGTGGAGGAAAGCCCCCCCAATTGCGGGGGATTTGTACATCGTGGAAACACAGAAACAGCGCTAATTTTGGTGTAACTCAGTCTGTAGGTCTTGCATGACGTACGTTTCAGAGAAAGATGACGGCCGGAAATAGGAGATAACCTCTATTGGAACTGTCGCAGTCCGTGAATTGGCGTCTGCGGGGGAGCTACGAACCGTTGGCAAAAACACTTCAAATTCAAGCGATTACACACCACTAACGAAGTTAGAAACTAAGATGGCGACTAGAAGAAAGGCCACCTTCAGTTCAAGCTCTAGCCACCTGTTCATACCTAGTGATGGGCGGATAAGGTAGTGCCCCGGACGCACGAGCTTCTAAGCATGTCACTGCATGTGTTTACTCTCTCATTTCGTTGCCCGATGGAGGTCAGAAACACATCTTCAGCGCCTCCTAGTCAGCACAACTACAAACAATCTTGCTCTTGCTTATGATAAGAGTCTGGGGCATTTGGTGACTGCGGGAAGATGTCTCACACAACATTTTCGGGAGATATCAGGCACCACGATGTGGACAGCCACTACTGCTACAGACCTTGATGAGCCATGTGGGCCAAATCCCGAAAGGCGGCAAGTATGCGAATGCGACAAAGGCAATAAGATGGCCGTGACAACCTCGAGACTGAACCCCGACAACTTTGACCCTCACCTTTACGTCAGGTAGCTCCAAGAACGTAGGCATCAGTTGGTACCCAAACTGGAAGGGAAAAAACGATACATGGGAAGGAAGAAAGAAAAAAATTGGTCCTTGTGGTGTTCGAGCTCACAAGCTACAGCTCGGTAGCTTTGCACTTCAGAATTAGGGGTATAACCAACTTAAGCTTCTGTGCAAGAGTCCCTTGTACTGCTGTTGAAAATGCCAGAGGTGAGCTTCCCTGTATCCCAGCCTGTAACGGTGGTCCTATATCTCGCGGGTATTCCATCACTGAATACTCTTTCCGCCAGTACGAGGACTAGGCTGAAGCCATTGACCGAGTTGCTTCATACCATCGCAAAGACTTTGGCGTCTCGGTGAATTAGCTCTTCGCCTCTACGACTCGTACACGAAGAAGCGAATCAATGCAATTTTCTCGTTATGGCAGAAGGTGTGAAGCTACTCGATTTTGAAAACCTTCAATAGAATACCAGCCTCGTGTGAATAAGCAGGGAGCTGGAGGCGTCGCCCATACAACTGGTCGAAAAGTCAGGTCTTGACGGAGCCTTCAGGTCAGTGGTCGATGGCAACTGATTCTGAGGTTCAAGATGAGTTTCCGAGTTTGTAGATAATTATTCAAGACCAGAGTGCATAATGATGCACCGAACGTAAGACGATAAATGTTGTTGGGTATCTCGAGACGCAGAACTTCGGAAATAAAGATCTGCTGCCTTTAGTCGACCATAACTACTTCGTTGTCCTAGACTCAAATCTCAACCCCCAGCGCTTGCACTGCTTCCAGAGTAGCAGCATAGAAAGGGCTGTCATCACCCACAGCCTCCTTCTCGAGTTGTAGGCCCTTCAACGCCAGCTCGCGTCCTTCCTCTCGCTTTCCCAAGTCAAACGCTTTGCGAGCGGTAGCGATATACATCGTCGAGACTTCCCGTCCGCGGATAGCCTCCGCCTCGTGAGCGTCCAAGAGCGCAAGCATCATCATGAACTCGTCCTCCGGATCCTCAGAAGCAGCTTCGGCGAAGAGCTCCAGCTTGCGCTGAATCTCCGCCCGGCGCACCTCGCCAGCTTCTGACGAGGTCGTCGGACTGCAGGCAGAGCATCCACAAGTGAAGCCGTACCCATCATGCAACGCGGTCTGTCGGGATTGCCGCAGGCCCAGATGTTCGTCGAGGTAGGAGATTGTGATTTCTTCTTCCGGCTCAATGTTTCTGGTAGCGTGAATGGTGAATGCGTTCAAGTCCTTGTTGAAGTTTCCTTGCGCGTTAGGGACACATGAGTGGTTCAAGCGCGCAACTTGAGGAAAGAGCGCTTGGGTCTGGTTGCCAATGTTGAAGTTGTTGTTCCGAAAGATATTGAGAATGGTGTGGTTAGACACTGTGTCTTGTGGGGCAGACTTGCTTCGCCATATTGACTCTAGCCAGCTGAAGACGCTTGACTTGCTGGGATTGGTTGATAATGAGAGTAATGAGTCCCGGCCAGTTGTTGAGAGAAGTTGGGCTTGTCGCAGGATCGAGTTGCTATCTGAGGATGTGATTGTGAGTAGAGCTTGGTCTGTGAGGATTCTTTGGCCTGTGAGAATTGGTCTCGAGGCAAAGACCCCGAGGCCTTTCCCGATTGCATGTCGAACAGTGAACATCTTAGCACGCTAGTAGGTTGGTTGTTTTTGCGAGTGATGTGTTGACATTGAAGGTTTGAGCGGCCCCTGACAGAGGAAAATATTCCGTGGCCTAAAGAGGCAAGGGGCGATTGCGGAGATTGCCGATTTCAAAGACATACCGGGACGCCAAAGGTTCTCGCGTCTCTTATCGCTAAAGTTTCACAGACCTGAGGTACTACTACTGAATAACATAGGTTCACCAATATCCTATGAGTATTCAACCATCAAGATTCGGCTCCTTTCAAGCTTGCACCCGCTCAAGCCCACTTGTCTCCAGTGTTAAATAGTATCAATCATCTCAATTATCTCCACTCAGTTGCCACTTGTCAAGCTACTGCTTGCTGGTTGTAAAACTATAGGCATGTAGCTTAGAGCACGTCTGATGGCAACTTATGTCTAGATAACCATGATCAGGCACAAATGGTTGATTATTTCTGGTGTTGGTTCATTCAATGTTGTCTAATTTGGGAAGGTGGAAAGCACTGTCTGCGAATATATCAGAGAACCGTGATGACTGTAGAACGACATGGCGGAATCTTGCCAAGTCTTCGAAAGTGAACGCATCCAACAAAGCCCCCGCGGACCGGTAGTCCCCGAGTGAGACGACCGTTTTTTGCAGATCGATCCAATGAATCGCACTACTTGCCGCCGAGTACGTTGGTCTATGTATGGGCTTGGCGTATGATTGTTCCATTAGCCGCCGCGACTCCTTGCAAGCGAGGCCTGCTAGATAGGGAGCCGGACCAACATGGTTCATGATGAGGGGCAGATGGCTCTTGTTGGCGTTGTTGGTTGCGGTTGCTTTACGATTCACAGCCCAAACGGATGGCACCGAAAGCGCTTCCGTCCATATCTGCAGTCGTAATTCTGGGGGCAAAGCTCCGAAATAAGTAAAGCGATGCGCTGCGTCCATGTTGTACCCCAAATGAAGAGCGGAAACGAAGGAAGCGTAATACTTGCTGTGCTAGCGTGACTTCGAAGGCGGAGAATGTGGGTTGTAGTCTGTAGATGACAAGTTGGCTGTGAGAGGTTGCCCAGCCGCCTGGCCATCTTCTTCAGCAGGCAGTGTCTCCACACGTCCGCGGTAAATACAGCGGCCTGGGTCAAATATCAAGACCCAACCAACTTGCTTGACCACTAACAATATTTACATACACATGCTGTTCAGGTCATACGTTGAATGGCCATGATCTCATCACACATCACCAATTTCCAAAGAACAAACTGGAGTCGCAGGCACTGTTCAATGATAAAAAATGCTCGGAATGTTTCGAACTTCAGAACACTTTGTAGAGTCGGTTTTCTCGGCCCTCAACGCATCAAAAACTCCCTGCGTACTCTGGGGACACTATCTGCTTAATGTCCACGGCGTGCCTTCAATCATAGGGGTAGGTGCATTCCGAGCATTTGCATTGGTGTCTTGAATACCAAGGCTAACAAACAGAAAGTCTATAGATTTTGTCGTCCAGGATAAAATGCTTTCGGTCGGCGCCGATGCTATTTCAGAATTACCCGAAATCGAGCAATGCCCCTCCGTGGAACTATGCTTTGCGAGCTCGCCTGAGCGCCGAACACCACCGCCTGCATTTCATGTGCACATCAAATCCTCGGAGCTCACCATAGGGTTATACCTACAGTCAGAAACACTATGGTTTTTACCAGACTTTGACGATTCCCTCTTAGCTTTCGAAGACAAGCAATCAGCGACATTTGCTCTTGCTCATAACCGAGATGTGCTTCCACCCTGGCGACCGGGTCGCGGATCTGGTGCTTTCAAATCTACCGACACCTCCATTGTCGTACCCAGATCTCACATACTGTTAGAGGCTTACCTGCGACTCTATGCTCGTGACTCAGGCAAGACAATGGGCTCCTTCGCCATGGCCATGATCGCCTACATGGAGGAATATGTTGACGACGACGGTTTGCTCGACTCGAAACAACTGCCGGAACCGCTGAAGTCATTTTACGACGAGCTTCGAGTCGGTGAAAAGCCACTCCGACAGTGGACAAAGGAATTCAAAGAAAGCCTTAATATTCCTGACGAAGAGTCTGAGGATGAGGATCTCTGGTACTGAAGGATCGGGCAGGTCATTGTAATGTTGATACTATCATTCTTCACCCTTTCACATTCGCGGGGCTATCTATCCTGTATATTGCCCTTGCAGTATTGAAGTATCCTTCATATTCAATAATGTCTTCCTCTCCTTCGGCTTCGTAATGATAGTGACCTCCAGCATTCTTTCCCAGTGGAGAGAACGCGTGCGTATGCTCAATCCTCAAGCCCATCTTGTTGCCCGGATCCGCAGAGTGCAATACGCATAGTCCCACAACGGGCGAATCGAAATCATGAAAGGTCAACCATTTCTCAACTTCCTTTCTATCCTTAAAAGGCAGATCGCTCTCAGCAGGGAAATCAGGCATGATGTGGTAAGTTGCCTTCCCTGCCTTCACAACAAAGGCTCCGCCGAGACTGATAGTTCTTTCATTGCCATATGCAGCATTCAGCCCTTTCCGGATACACTCGGTAAAGCTCTTTTCAGAACCCTTGCGGCCCTTTGCTGTAATCTTGAGGACCGGTCCTGGCTCGCCCAAGGAGCCGTACAAGTTGACCATGAGACCGCAGTCTACAGAAGGGCTCGTTCCAACGCTGACTTCTCCGGTGGTGCGTTTGATCTGGATGACTTGACTTTTGTTATCGACCTTGTCAAGACCCCCTTGCCAGCTAAGATTCGGCGCAAGCTCGCTATTCTGCCCGATGACATGGAAAGGACCGGCGCCGGCACCGATCAAGCTGCCCTTTTCAGGGCTCATTTCCATATTCTTGCCAATCTCTGGTATGGACCAGATGCTGTCAAGCCGGGGGCGGGGAAAGAGGTTCGGCTGGCCGCCAACATCTGCGATTTTTTCCTCCCCTGAGAGGCCCTCGGTCGCCAAGTGAAAAGGTGCTTTTCGCAGGTCGGGACAATTGACCACAGCCACTGATGCGTGCTTGTAGTTGGCGTCCAAGGGAGCTTTGAGTCGCTCGACTAACTCTTCCAGGCTCGGGGGCGATAGGAGGAACTTTTCGACACGCATCGTGAGAGTGTGAGGGGTAAAAAGTTCTTAGTTTTTTCCGAGAAGCTGGTTCTCGACGTTCGAGGTAAGTACGAATTGCTGCCTTATTTGAGTCGATAAGACGTTGGTATTATTACTAGAAGTGTAATGTACTTAGTAGAGGTATAGTCGAAGAGGTTATTGTTCGGCCCGTATGACGTGATGCAAGAACCCCGCTGTGCGGATCGGGAATGCCCCGGCAGTCGGTTCAGAGCTTTTTGAGTGCAGCCACGACACATGCACCTCAATTTGAATGGTTTTGGTGTCTGCAAGTTCAGGCGGCGTCTTCTGAGACTTTTGTTTTACTTGCTCTACCTTCTTCAATCTTTCCCTAAACTGCTGCAACCCAAGTAATATCATGTGCACGTCTCCATACATTATGTTTTGCTATAATAATAACAAAGACAAGATTTCTAGGGTATGTTTTCTGTTGAAAGAAATGTCTCACTTACGGCCAAACCAAACCTACCAATAGTGGGGGAAGAGAAATCCCTGAAGTCATGATAAACCCTCGTACAGGCTGGGAGTAACTTAGGTAGGCTACAGTAGTATTAAACCATAGAGCACTGAATCAAAGCACTAGACCTACGTTGTGGAAATAACGGCCGTATTCAACAAAACCTAAATTTCACTCAATTACTAATTATAGCTAAGTGACCACTGAAATTATGCCAAAACATATGCTCATAAAAACTTGTCCCATTCTCTGATGCTATCGCGTTAATGGACATGGAAATGTTGAGTGAGCGGAAATAAGCTCGAATAAAACTCCAGTCTTCGCAAACGCTTTCGAAATTTCATCAGAAGTATTGCCTCTGTCGTGTTCGTATGTTGGAGTCTTAACGGCTACCTTTCGGAGGCCAGGTAGTTGGCCGGCCAAGCATGATGATGCCAGACGAAGCAGCATCACAGTCAGACGTTCAGTGCTAGCATCTAACCTCTCATGAATCCAAGGACGAGAGCCTGGGGCCAAAGAGTACAGGCAGTATCTTGGGTCCGAGTACCAAATGTCATGGAGAGTCAATTGCGTGAGCTTGGGCGGCAGACGCGCAGTGATGTCTGCGTTTGCCATGTCTTCGGAACTTCTGAAGATGGTTGGTAATTCGGTCTCCAACACAGTCAGATCTTCCAAATCTGTGAGACATGTAAGACATGGTTCATCGGGGGTCCGAAGAGCTGAGAGGTCCCCATGTAACAGCGTAAGTCTCTGCAAACGCGGGCAGAGTGTTGAAAGCGTCGTCGATAGGTGAGTGGTGATCCCCGGGTGTGTGGTTTGCTGGAAACAAGGAGCGAAAAAGTGATAGTCAATCTCGATTTCGAGAACTCGAAGACCGGGGCACAGCTGGAGTAGTCGGCATAAATCGGGTCCGCGGATGGCAGTTTCGTGGAAACGAATTTGCTCCAAAGCAAAGGGTCCAGCCGCGGCGACTTGGGCGAGACCTCCCCATCTATCGTTGTCGTATCGCGTAAGAATCGAAGTGAGAGGAGGCAGGGCAAGCAGGCCAGTGAATATACGAGGAACCTCGGGAATGTTCATGAAGTACACCGCAGGGTCTTCCAGTTCCAAGTGCCGCAAATTGGGTAAGGTCCCCGGATGACCTGTCGCATTGCTATGAGTTGGTGTAAGCCGTTTCCGCAACCCCCTCTCACATTGCTCGGCTGACTCCCATATTACGCGTAATGTCAAATGTTGCACATGAACCCCAAGTTCAGGTGTTTCGATGAGGGACCGGATGAGAAGACCAGCGGCGTCTTTGGATTCATCCAGGTTGATATTAGAAAAGAGTTGAGAGTTGCAGAGAAGGTGAAATATTTGACAAGTTTGTGAAAGATTCGACAAGGTCCGGGTATCTCTAGCACCATCGTATCTGTCTCTCCTCAAAAGAGCGACGGAGTCGACGATGCAACGGATGAGCTCGTTGGGAAGGTCCAGCAGGCGTTTCTTCGGCATCAGCATTGACCCCGAAGTCGCCAGCGTTGAGTATTCCATGATGATGCTCCTCTACAACGCGTTCACAGCTCTTTAAGAGCTAGGTGCGAAGTGTATTGGCCGTTCAACATGTGAGAAGCATGCAGAAACCGGCTGTATTGCGATGAGCGAACTCGAATCTGTGACATCAAGTCGGGAAGAAGGGAGTGAATGGGGTGGCGTCATTCTGACTTTTTACTTCCATATTCGAAGAGGCTGGACAAGATAGGGGCACAAGGGCAGAACCGGCCACTAAGATCAGACGGACCGAGCGCTAGAAGAGGCCAAACGGAGGGCCGAGGTTTTTTTGACGCTAAAATCTTTTGTCATTATTAAATTCGCAAAACGGTTCAAGCTTTGTTACATGATGAGATTCTTCCTTTGTGTCGAAATGGATGACGTGGGAGTATTACATGGAAGTAGCATAACGGAATAAATGGAGGCGCACTGCTACTTCCTAATCTGGTAAGTACCGTTTGGATAACTGACGATGAGGGCACACCGAGCTCGGTGAAGAGCAAGCGATTACATAAGCGAAGTGAAGCCCACCGTTGTCCCAGCAACGCGCCACACGACCCACATGGCCGATCTGTTATCGTTATCAATAATCAACATCACAACACTGGGCATCCTTTTCTAACGCTACCCCATTTCGAACTTGAACATCGACAACCTAGACGCAGTACTCCAGCACCACATCACTCGGAGACGCGACGGCAACTTGCCGCGACGATACTAACCATGGCAGCCTCCGACGATCTCATCAACTTCGACGTTATTGAAGCACAGAAAGAAAACATCCAGGCGCTGCCCAGTGGTCGCTCCGCCAAAAAGCTGGCTCAGCTGTT